CAGCCAAGGGTATGGACAACCCTGGATGTGTCCCCATTCAGTGGCTCCCCGAGACCACTGGGCTGTGTATAGGGCTCAATACACTAGGCCCTTGACCCCAGCTTGAAGGGAAATTAATTCTTCACCTTTCCCAAACAGGGATATATCAGAAGCATCGGAGGACATGGGAGATAAGGAGGAAGAAGGTCCGGACTATGCAGACACTTCTCCGGCTCACAACTCATTGTCCTCCCCTGACGAGACAGTCATACCACTACCTCCAAGTAAAGTGGACAATCTGAAACAATTTCAGGAATTTATTTAAAAGAGTAGCTGCCAGCCAAGACATCCCTGTAGAAGAGGCCCAAGAAAACCAACACAAGCTACTGCAAATCTTACAGACATCCACTGTCTCCAAAATTGCTCTACCAATCAATCATGCCATAATGGAACCAGCAGAGAATATCTGGCAGACCCCCACCTTGATACCACCTACCAGGAAATGGGCTGACAGAAAGTACTTCGTCCCAGCTAAGGGGATGAACTTTCTCTTCTCTCATCCACAACCCAATTCCCTAGTTGTGTAAGCCACCAATCGTCATAGCAAACAACCTCAGTCCAGTCCACTCCACAAGACAAAGAACACAAACGTTTAGACCTTCTCGGTAGAAAGACACTCATCGGCTACTCTCCAATTTAGGGTAGCCAATTGCTTGGCTCTTCTAGCCAAGTACAATTTCGATAATTACAGTAAGCTACAAGAATTCCTTGAGGCCTTACCAGAGGAGAAACGTTCCCAACTCAATGCTATCATGACAGAAGGGCAACTAATTGCCTGTACAGCCTTTCAGGCCTCAGTGGATGTAGCAAACATTGCTGCGAGAACAACGGCCACAGCTGTCATAATGCTCAGGGCCTCGTGGTTGCAGTCATCCAGGATCCTGAAAGAGCTCCAGCTCAAGGTGGAGGATCTACCTTTCGATCGGGAGAAACTTTTCTCCACAAAAACTATGTTCTTCACTCGATGAAGGACTCTCGGGCCACTCTACACACTTTAGGCATATACATGCCACCAAACAAACAATGTCTGTATCAACCATACCAAAAGGGTAGACACATCTCTTTCCGTCACCCACAACAGCGACACTTTGATCAGAACAGAAATAAGCAATGCTCACAAAGACGTAGGGCTTCCCAAACTCAGTCCTTGTCTTCGCAACCATCTACCACCAAGCCACAAGTTTTGAAGTCCTGATCGAGGGTATGAATGACCTCCCCCACAATACAGAGCTGTTAGGTACTTCTACCCACCCTTTTGGCCGCTTTCTGCACGCATTCTACCATGCCTGGGAAGCAATAAAAATGGATCAATGGGTACTGGAGATTATAAGCTTGGGTTATGTCATCCCTTTCCTCTCCCTTCCCTCCTACCTTATCCCCTTCTCCATCCGTCTTCAGGGACCTTTCTCACGAGCACCTTGTAAACAGAAAGTGAACCATCTTCTACAATTGGGTGCCGTGGAACAAGTTCCAACTCAAGTACAAAGGGGAAGGGCTTTTACTCCCATTATTTTCTCACCCAAAAGAAAAAGGTGGCAGGTGGAGACACTTCTTAGACCTTTGGAAGCTCAACAGATTTGTGAGGAGTCACAAATTCAAAATGGTCACATTGGCCACAATCATCCCAGCGCTAGACAAGGGGGACTGGTTTTCAGCCCTCGACCTCCAAGATGCTTTTTTTCATATTACCATGCACCTGGCTCACAGGCGATTTATAAGATTCACAGTGGGCCTCAATCACTATCAGTACAGAGGCCTATCTTTTAGTCTTTCCACTGCCCCTTGAGTTTTTTCCAAACCCTCGCGGTAGTGTCATATGAAGAAAAAGAGTGATGATCTTTCCATACCTAGACAACTGTCTACTAAAAGGTACAACTCAAGAAGAAGCGACAAACATGGTGCAGACCACCATCATGCTGTTTCAGTCACTGGGATTGCGAATAAACTTATAGAAATCTACACTGACCCCAGTGCAACACCTGGAATTCATCAGAGCCTACCTTGATTCCACCCGGGCCAGAGCCCTGTTGCCTGATCACAGGTTCAGAACAATAATCAACCTCATCTCGACAGTCACTGGCAACCCTCAAACGTCCTCCAGACCTGCCTACAATTATTAGGTCATATGGTGGCTACGACCTTCTTTGTGAGACATGCGAGACTGCATATGCGTTGCCTACAGCGCTGACTGAGCACAGAGTGCACTCCCAGCACAAACAGCCTAAACAAAAGGGTGACAGTACCCCCATGCATCACTACAGTGATAGATGAAACCAGAAAACATCTACCCAGGGATCCCCTTCCAACAGGATCCCCCATCACTAATAATCACAACTGATGCATTGTTGATAAGATGGGGAGCTCACTTGGACTAGCACACCACACAAGGCAAGTGGTCAGCGACGGAAACGCTGCTCCACATCAATCTCCTGGAGCTCCGAGCACTATACAATGCGTTCAGGCACTTCCTCCTGATCATAGGAAACGAATCAATCCACGTACTGACCGACAACATAGCATGTAGTTTTATATCAGTTGCCAAGGAGGAGCTCGCTTCCATTCACTCTGCACCGAGGCAATGAAATTTTGGAACTGGTGCATTCACCACAACATAATCATCTCAACATCTTACCTCCCAGGGTGTCAGAATAAGACAGCGGACACACTAAGCAGATATTTCTTCCTAGAACATGAATGGGAAATGTACAAGTGTGTTCTCCAAGTGATATTTCAGGAGTGGGGCTTTCCCTTAGTAGACCCGTTTGCAACAGAAACGAACCACAAGTGCCCACTTTTCTGCTCCAGGGCGGGACTAGTACCCCAGTCCCTAGGGGATGCCTTCCTCATTGCATGGGACACAGCACTCATGTATGCATTCGGACCGAAACCTCTAATCCCATGAGTTATTCGCAAGATACGGACCAACAGGGCCCATATCATACTGATCATTCCAACGTGGCCCAGACCGACTTGGTTCCTTTACCTGATGTGTTTTAGCAGTTTGCGCTCCATGAATTCTCCCCTTGAGGGTGGATGTCCTTTCACAGAACAAAGGCCGGACTCTCCACCCAATCCAGAGAATCTTCACCTCAAAGCATGGCTCCTACACGGTTCCAACACAGCAAATTAGACTGTTCAGAAAGAGTGAAACTGCTGTTATTAAATAGCAGGAGATCCACCACTTGCCATAACTACCTCCAAAAATGAAAGAGTTTCTCACTATGATGCTAACAAAAAATTTAACTGCAGTCACGGCGCCTCTACCAATCATACGAGACTACATACTGGTACTCAAAGAATTGGGTTTATCCATAAGCTCAATCAAAGTACACCTGGTGGTTATTACAGCCTTTCACCACAAGGTGGAGGGAGAGTCAGTCTTCGCTCACCCAACAATTAAATGCTTTCTTATTGGTATACAGAACATGTACTCGGGTGTCCGACAACCTGCACCCCCATGGGACTTGAATCTTGTACTCAAATGCACCTTTTGAACCACTGATGACTTATTCACTCCTTCATATGTCTATGAAAGTCGCATTTTTGGTAGCGATCACCTCAGCTACATGAGTCAGTGAAATTGGGGCACTTATGGCTGAGCTCCCTTATACTGTGTTCACTAAAGACAAGATCATGTTGCCATCACACCCAGAATTTGTACCTAAAGTAGCGACATCTTTCCATGTAAACCAAGCCATACACCTCCCCATATTTTACCCCGAACCACATGGGTATTCACAGGGGCCCATCCTAAATACACTCAATGTCAGATGAGCCATAGCATTCTATTAAGACAGAACCAAACCCTTCCAGAAATCTCCAAGACTTTTTGTTTATTTCCACAGCAGAACACTCCAAGGGCTGTGCAGTATCGACCCAGAGACTATCTAAATGGATCTCTACTTGTATCCAACTTTGCTAACAGTTCTACAAGGAACCTCCACCAGGCTCTGATCCCATTCTGCATGTGCCCTGTCTACACCTACAGCCTTCCTGGGCAACGTTCCTCTAATAGATATATGCAGGGCTGCCACATGGGCATCAGAGCACACTTTTGGAAAACACTATGCCATCACTCAGTGCTTTTTGTCAGATGCTATACTAGGCCTTACTGTGCTCTCGGCCATGACACATGCAACTCCAAAGTCCCTACCATCCACAGTAGGGCACTGCTGTACAGACACCTAAAGCATACAAGCTGGGAGGGGAGATTTATTGGTAAATTTGAAAGTCATGATGGGAGAAAGTAAAGTCTTGTCTCTCAATCATTAGTTTTAACATATTTTTGAGCTTTAGTTTGCAATAGAATTTAAAACCTCCACATCGTTTCATCATATGTGTTTGCATCTGAACCTGTTAACTTTTACTGCTGTATATGAATGTAATCATTGTCTAACTGGTTTCAGAGTAACAGCCGTGTTAGTCTGTATTCGCAAAAAGAAAAGGAGTACTTGTGGCACCTTAGAGACTAACCAATTTATTTGAGCATGAGCTTTCGTGAGCTACAGCTCACTTCATCAGATGCATACCGTGGAAACTGCAGCAGACTTTATATATACACAGAGAATATGAAACAATACCTCCTCCCACCCCACAGCAGGACAGTGGGGTGGGAGGAGGTATTGTTTCATATTCTCTGTGTATATATAAAGTCTGCTGCAGTTTCCACGGTATGCATCTGATGAAGTGAGCTGTAGCTCACGAAAGCTCATGCTCAAATAAATTGGTTAGTCTCTAAGGTGCCACAAGTACTCCTTTTCTTATTGTCTAACTGGTTGCTCAGCAGTGGAGGATTTATTAAGTTATATAGCTTTGAGACCCTGCCAGTTTGTCTAACTTTTTGGCTTTCATATTTAGTAAGAAGATTCATGAAGGTTCTTCAAAAACTTTTTCTTTATATATTTTAAAAACATACACGACTTACTTTGTGGTATCTATTTATTTATTTTTTTTCTTGTTAGGCTGATGTTGACCTTTCTAACCCAGACTTGGTGGATGATCATGCTTCTGAAGTAAGTGTTGAACAAATGTTTTTTGTATGCTCTGGTGTGCTCATGAGAGAGGAGCATTATGGCTACGAGATTATTAAAGTGCTGTAAATGAGATACTCATTAAATATTTGTTAGGACATGATTAAAATAATTCAATCATGCTAGTGTTCTTGTAGTCTAGATTCTGTAGGCAGTTGCATTGTATGGTTAACAAATCAAGTTGACAGTTGGAACCAGTAATTCTCTGGAGCTTACAGCGCTTGTTCATAGGAAATTGGATAAACATTTTTACTAGATAATGGCATCAAACTCTTAATTTAAAAAAATAACACCTTAAGAATATAAATAATAATCCTCTTTGAAGTGAAGCAATATACAGAAACCCATCTCTTGCCTGAGAATTCCAATGAACCAGCTTCATTATTCTAAGGGCTTTCAAAGGGCTTTGATATAGCAGAACTCCTACTCTACAACAAACAGCTTGCAGATGACCGAAACTATTTTTTGAATGCTTAATTGAAAATTAAAGCTATAAGATTGGTGAGATAATATCTTTTATTGGACCAACTTCTGTTGGTGAAAGAGACAAGCTTTCAAGCTTGTACAGAGCACTTCCTCAGGCCTGGGAAAGGTACTTAGAGTGTCACAGCTAACTACAAGGGTAGAACAAATAAAGAATTAACATGTTGTAAGAGACCATTCTCGGTGAAATGGGCAGTTAATGCCTCTCCAGTAGTAGGACAATGGAGGGTTAGCAGGTTACAGATTGTTGTATTGAGCCATAAATCCAGTGTCTTTATTAAATCTATGATTTTTGGTGTGTCGCAGAGTTATGAATTTAAGTCCCCAGGGTCATCTTTTGAAGGTGTTGTGCAGGTTTTCTTTGATGAGGACTGAAAGGACAGCTGTGGAATTGTTTTGTGGAAAGTATTCACCTGTGAGTGATATGGTGTGTTTGTCTTTTCATTGTTCTGTGTGAGCTCATTCAAGAGTGTAGTGATTGTCTGGTTTAGTTGTTGGGGTATTTAGTGCACTGGATGAGTTACACCACATTTTGTGATAGGTGTGTGTAGGGCCGATGGATCTTGAAAGGTGTGTTGCGAGGGGTGGGTATTGATGATCAGAGCTGTGGAGATACATCGGCAGGTTTTGCATCTGTTCTGGCAGTTGAGTTGATGTGTCCTAGTCTGTGGGGAGCCTGCGTTTTATGATGAACTTGGTGATGATGGGGGAGTTATTTGAAGTCCAGAAGAGGGTGGATTTCTTTCAGGATGTGGTCCCCATTGAGTATGGGTTGTAATTGTTTAATGATACCCCCATATAGGTTCCAGTGTGGGTTGTTTAATGATACCCGATATAGGTTGCAGTGTGGGGTGGTAGGTGACAACTAGGGGTGTGTGGTTGGAGGGCTTTTTTCCTGTATTGAAGCAGGTTTACTCATGGTATTCCATGATGTGATCTACTTCTCTGGTGGAGTGTCCTTGTTTGGTGAAGGTGATTTCAAGTGTGTGAAGGTGTGTAACCTGGATTTTCTCCTCAGAGCACATTCTGTGGCATCTGAGCATCTAGCTGTAGATAACAGATTTCTTGCTGCATTTTGGGTGGTTACTAAATCTGTGACGCTAAGTGTGATGATCTGTGGGTTTTTTGTCTGTAGGGTTCCGTTGTTGAAGATGATTGTTGTGCCCAGGAAATTGATGCTGGTGTGGGAGTGTTCCAGAGAGGTCTTACTGGATGGGTAGAGGTGGTTGAAGTTGTGATGAAAATTTGAGGGAGTTTAGGTCAATGTATCTTAGACATATTTTTGGTTTTGTGATGCACTGCAAACAATAATTGAACATTAGACATTTATTATTTTTTAGTACATTAAGCATGCATTATTTATTTGCAGCTGATTGACACTATCTGTGCTTGTTAATATAATTTTAAATTAACAAAATATTCCCGAATTCTTCTTGTGGGCGGTGGTGAGGGAAATTCAGTATAATCAAATTTAATAACTTTATTTTTGGTTATATAGTTGCAGTTCATTTTTAAAATTTGCTGCTGGAAATGAGATTTAAACCTCAGGTTGTGGTAGAGTGTGACTGTAGCATCAAATGGGGCTATGTAATCACACTGCTCTTCTTAAGAGTTAATTTGGTCCATTAAATTTAATACATGACATGTCAAAGTGTTTTCTCTCATTCAAATTTTCAAAATAAAGATGCTGTTTAAATTTTCAGGTTTCAGAGTAGCAGCCGTGTTAGTCTGTATCCACAAAAAGAAAAGGAGTACTTGTGGCACCTTAGAGACTAACCAATTTATTTGAGCATAAGCTTTCGTGAGCTACAGCTCAGTTCATCGGATGCGTTCAGTGGAAATTCACAGTATGCATCCAATGAAGTGAGCTGTAGCTCATGGAAGCTTATGCTCAAATAACGCATTCGATGAAGTGAGCTGTAGCTCACGAAAGCTTATGCTCAAATTTGTTAGTCTCTAAGGTGCCACGAGTACTCCTTTTTTAAAAATGTCAGTATATTATATGACACGAGGTCCAAAGGTAGAGGTGTAAGGTACTTATAAAGATGGATGAGTAGAGAGATTATGCCAGATAGGAATATAATTTTGCCATAAATTTAAAGTAACAATGTCACACTATTAAGTAAATACCATTCCTTTTCTTTTATGAAGAAAGATGTTCTATGTTCTATTAAGGAATACGATCAGCTTGATGTCCAGATGTGTCGGACTAGAATTGTGGAGCTGGAAAAAAGACTTCTGGACAAACAGGAAGCAACTGAAAGACTCACTACAGAGGTGGATGATTTACTGGAACAACTTGCCAAGCATAGTGGGGCCACACATCTTCAGGTACTATTAATAAAATCAGATAGCTTGTATTTCAAGGATATTTACTGAAAATGTTACCAGCAGAGTTATGGGTAACAGTGTAACTTCATTAAATACCACAGCAAAGTAAAGGAGTACTTTGAGACTAACCAATTTATTTGAGCATAAGCTTTCGTGAGCTACAGCTCACTTCATCGGATGCATACTGTGGAAAATACAGAAGATGTTTTTATACACACAAACCATGAAAAAATGGGTGTTTATCACTACAAAAGGTTTTCTCTCCCCCCACCCCACTCTCCTGCTAGTAATAGCTTATCTAAAGTGATCACTCTCCTTACAATGTGCACGATAACCAAGGTGGGCCACTTCCAGCACAAATCCAGGGTTTAACAAGAACATCTGAGGAACGGGGGGGGAGGGGTAGGAAAAAACAAGGGGAAATAGGTTACCTTGCATAATGACTTAGCCACTCCCAGTCTCTATTCAAGCCTAAGTTAATTGTATCCAATTTGCAAATGAATTCCAATTCAACAGTCTCTCGCTGGAGCCTGGTTTTGAAGTTTTTCTGTTGTAATATCGCAACTTTCATGTCTGTAATCGCGTGACCAGAGAGATTGAAGTGTTCTCCGACTGGTTTATGAATGTTATAATTTTTGACATCTGATTTGTGTCCATTTTTTCTTTTACGTAGAGACTGTCCAGTTTGGCCAATGCACATGGCAGAGGGGCATTGCTGGCACATGATGGCATATATCACATTGGTAGATGTGCAGGTGAACGAGCCTCTGATAGTGTGGCTGATGTGATTAGGCCCTGTGATGGTGTCCCCTGAATAGATATGTGGGCACAGTTGGCAACGGGCTTTGTTGCAAGGATAGGTTCCTGGGTTAGTGGTTCTGTTGTGTGGTTGCTGGTGAGTATTTGCTTCAGGTTGGGGGGCTGTCTCTCAAGATTTGTGAGAGTGTTGGGTCATCCTTCAGGATAGGTTGTAGATCCTTGATGATGTGTTGGAGAGGTTTTAGTTGGGGGCTGAAGGTGACGGCTAGAGGCGTTCTGTTATTTTCTTTGTTAGGCCTGTCCTGTAGTAGGTGACTTCTGGGAACTCTTCTGGCTCTATCAATCTGTTTCTTCACTTCCGCAGGTGGGTATTGTAGTTGTAAGAATGCTTGATAGAGATCTTGTAGAGATCAGCAAAGTAGTATGTGTCACGGTTACAGGACTAGCTGCACCTCTGACTCCTTCTCTGGTGTCTGAGTGCACCATCACATGTGTAGGCTCTCATGACTACCTATTCTGGGGTGGAATCTTGAGATTCTTTCACAAGACACTGCAGCCAGCGACCCAGTCATGCTTGCTCAACTGGTCTGTCTGGATTTGATACATGCGGTTCTTTCCTTTGGGAGCTTATGACTAAGCGGTGAATACAGTGACCCCGACTCTGGAATCTTAGTTCACTTTCTGATTTTCTCTTGTCTTTCTTTTGAGGGATGGTCTTCAAATCCAGCCAGATTTCTTTTTGTCTCAGCTCACATGCTTGGAACAGCTGCACAAAACCATTTTGAATTCCTCACGGGGGTCAGGAGCCAGAGCATCAAAGTGAATGACTCCTGATTGTCATGAAGTGATTGCAGGGAACTGTGTATCAAGATCAACTCTTCCTGGGTGCTTTTGCTGACAATCCTGCTATTGAATTAACTTAGTAGAGGCGTACAGTAAATATCCTTACACCAATCAGACAAATAGAAGATATAATATTCATAAATTATTACAGAGCGGCAGCAAATCTGCTATGCTATGAAATATCATTGATCGAGGCAACTGTTAGTAAAACTATAATCTGTGTAAATTTATCTGAAAATTATATCTATTCAAAATTGGGTCATGGTCCATGCCTGGGCTCCTAGGTGTTACTGCAGTAAATATGATGATGATGATGATGATAGAGAAATTCACTGAGCTTTTATTGGCATGACAAGCTATAAAGAGTTGCCAAACTATAAGAAAAAGACAGACCCCTCTTGTATCAAAACAAACCAGTTTTGCAAAGCCTTCATTTTTAAAGTTTCAGGTGTCCTGAGACTTTCATAAAATTTGAGGCTTACTGATTATCCAGATTGGCAAGAGGATACAATCTTGAGGTTCCTCTCTGAAAAAACGCACACCTAAAACTGCACCAAATTAAAGGAAGTCAACCAAACTTCCAGAGTATACCCCTTTCTTTTAAGTATCAATAGTTAACATATCTGATATTGAAAAAAATTCCTTGTTCTTTTGGATTGGGCGGGTTTAAAACATTATTATTTTGGTTTCCTGAAACCTTTTTAGGGGTTTAAATAATTTAGGCTCACCACATAGCTTCAATCATGGAGAGCTCCTAAGTGTAAGAGCTTTTCCAAATTGAAAACTAGTGCTCTGTGGAAGCAAAGCTTTGGGAGCTATAAAGGAATGAAGCTACTGTCACTGTAAGCCAAATTTAACCAAGTCAGTTAACTGGAATTTAGAAAATTGGAGTTGCATTGTGGAGAAAAGGGACTCACTTTCTTATGTGATCATTTAAATGTTCTGCATTGTGTTTGCAAACAAGAATCAAATGTAACAGTACTTTATTACCTTTTGTTGTACAAAATTTAAAAACCAGGTTTAATGGAAACTCCATTGTCTGTCAAATATTGTGTAGATAATTGTTTTTAAAAATACAAATTTCAAACATCTATTGAATTTTCAACGTTATTCTGGAATTAGGTGGCTCTGAATCAACTTCATGGAAGCAGCTATGTTTCTGGGTAAAAGCTCAAATAATATGGAAAAAGAAAAGGAGTACTTGTGGCACCTTAGAGACTAACCAATTTATTTGAGCATAAGCTTTCGTGAGCTACAGCTCACTTCATCGGATGCATACTGTGGAAAATACAGAAGTTTGTTTTTATACACACAAATCATGAAAAAATGGGTGTTTATCACTACAAAAGGTTTTCTCTCCCCCCCACCCCACTCTCCTGCTGGTAATAGCTTATGTAAAGTGATCACTCGCCTTACTTTACATAAGCTATTACCAGCAGGAGAGTGGGGTGGGGGGGAGAGAAAACCTTTTGTAGTGATAAACACCCATTTTTTCATGATTTGTGTGTATAAAAACAAACATCTTCTGTATTTTCCACAGTATGCATCCGATGAAGTGAGCTGTAGCTCACGAAAGCTTATGCTCAAATAAATTGGTTAGTCTCTAAGGTGCCACAAGTACTCCTTTTCTTTTTGCGAATACAGACTAACACGGCTGTTACTCTGAAATAATATGGAGCATCTCTTCCTTTTTTTTTTTAATGGAGATCATTCTTCTGTGCTTGTTTAAAGTGAGTTTCAAATGTATTGTACTGTTTTCTTTTGCAGGGCTGCAGGTAGTGGTGATAAATGGGGTAAATTTGTGTGGGGTGGGGGGAGAGTTTGTTTGTGTTTACTTTATAGGCTCCTGGTTTCTAGGACTTCCACATGGAGATGAGCTGCACCCCACATGCTTGAAGAGTGTCTTCCTGCTTCCTCCATAACTGCAGATTTACTTTTTCCTTTTAGGAGTAGGAAACCAAGAAGTTTCCTATCATGGAGAAATACTTTAAAGATGCTAATGAGATTAATATGAAATAGGATTAACATGCCCCAAACATGCCCCATTCACTTGGATGAGAAGAAGTGAACATCTCTGCTCCATTCACCCTAGATCAGTACAGCCTGTCTTACATAATGGGGGCACTGAGGATTCAGTTTTAGTGTAGAAATTCTACGCTTTGTTTCCCCCTTTACCTGTTAAAATGTTTGCACTTGCTAAAGACAATGTTCTAAATTGGCTTCCTTTACCCTTTGAGATCAGTGGAAGATAAACTTTTTTTTTCTTTGCACTTTTCACAGAAAGATGACTGCTCCTTTGGAGCAAGTTTTACTGATACCTTAAGTACAATGCAAAGAGCTAGTTCCTTTGTTTTTAATGAAGGTTTACGTGTCTAAAGTGCTGAAAAATGTCTGGTTTTAAAGATGCGTTAATGTTTCATGTAGGAGCTGGAGACGGCTGTCCAGGAACGGAATGAGATAATAGCTCAGCTGACAAGTAACCTTCAGCAGGCAAGGCAAAATCGGGATGACATTCAGGAAGAAGCCTCACTCCTAGCTGATCAGATCCATGGTTTACAGCTTCAGTTACATGAGGTGTGTGCTGGCTTTTTAAAATTGTTACCAGAAAATGAGGATCAGAACATTAACTGGAAAAAATGTTAGTAAATCTTGACCTCAGCAAATTATATAAATCCCCTCTTCCCCTTTCTTCTCTTTAACATTTGGTTTAAATGTGATTTTCAGGCTTACTAAACTAAACCTGAATTAATGGCTTGATTTTTTTTGTAGTAGAGTTTATTGCAGTGCAGAGGAAGCACGCTCCATTTGCTGGGAAACTGGACTGAGAGGCAGAAGCTCTGGGTGCTTTCATGGCTCTGCCATTGACTTGAGGGGAAACCTTCAGGAAGTCACTTCACGTTTTAATGCCTGAGTTTTTTTCCTTGTTAAAATAGGGGGAACTTTTGCCCAGCTTCTTGAAGAAAGCAGTTTGAGCTCTGTAAATGAAAAATACTATAAAACTATATGACGGTGTCACTGATTCACAGGATTGGTGCTATGCCTAGTTTGTAAATAGTCTCTTGGAGAAATCCCTTCTGGGTGCCAGATCCCTTACAGATCTCACTCTTCCTTCAGGGTAGGCCATGCAGCCTCACTGCTGCCTCCTTAGGCTGACCCTCTGGACTTAAGCATTCATGCTTCATTCACATTATGAACTCTGTTCAGTGAGTCCAACTGAGATAGACTCCTCATAGAGACTTGTACACTCATCAGGGACTAATGCACTTCACCCAGTATTTACAGTGATCCTCAAGCAGCGTTTTCAAAATAGTAGGGTTTATTAGTCAACTGGGACACAGCATTGGAAGTGCATAAATTAGCAGAGAGAAATAAAGGTTAAAGCATAGGCCATTCTGGTCAGCGCAGAGCAATTGAACAGACTCAGGGCATGTCTACGCTACAAAGTTAAGTCAATTTTATGTAAGTCGACATCAAGTTTCTGATTTAAGCAAGTAGATCTTGCGTGTCCCAACTATGCATGTGTCGGCGGAGTGCATCCTTACTAGCAGGGTTTGCATCGATGCACGGAGTGCTGCACTGTGGGTAGCTATCCTACAGCGCATGTAGGCAACTGGAATTTTGGTTTGGTCTTTCAGTGCCTTATGGGACCAAAACATTTGTGCAGATGGTTATGGGAGCATGGCATTAGCCTCCCATGATGCACTTACCTCTCTCCTTCTCTGAAATCAACGGCAAAGAAGCCAAACATTTATGTGCCTTTTTCCCTAAGCCTCTGTTACCTATGCAGACTCCATAGCATGGCAAGCATGGACGCTGCTCAGCTGTATGCTGTTGTGAGCATTACAAACACCTCGTGCCTAATCATGCAGTATTTACTCAGTTGAAGCAGGAGCTGCCGTGCAGAACAATGTGATGCCATGCAAACAGCCCTGCTGGAAGCCATGGAGTGGAGCAATTTGCAGTTGCTGATGACAGTTACGCATCACCTTGACACGGTGGAGCACGGCTTCTGGGCCCGGGAAACAAGCACTGACTGGTGGGACATCATCGTTGTGCAGCTATGGGATGATGAGCAGTGGTTGCAGAACTTTTGAATGCATAGAGATACTTTCATGGAACTAAGAAGAAAAGGAGTACTTGTGGCACCTTAGAGACTAACCAATTTATTTGAGCATGAGCTTTCGTGAGTTACAGTAGCTGATGCATCCGATGAAGTGAGCTGTAGCTCACAAAAGCTCATGCTCAAATAAATTGGTTAGTCTCTAAGATGCCACAAGTACTCCTTTTCTTTTTGCGAATACAGACTAACACGGCTGTTACTCTGAAACCTTTCATGGAACTGTGTGAAGAGCTTTCCCCAGTCCTGAAGTGCAGCAATACTAAAATGAGAGCTGCTCTGACAGTTGAGAAGCGAGTGGTGATAGCTTTGTGGAAACTTGCAACTCCAGACTGCTACCAGTCAGTGGGGAATCAGTTTGGTGTGGGTAACTCTACCATGGGGTCTGTTGTGATCCAAGTTTGCAGGGCAATCAATAGACTTCTGGTAAGAAGAGTAGTGACTCTGAGCAACGCACAGGAGATAGTGGAGGGCTTTGCCACGATGGGGTTCCCTAACTGCGATGAGGCTATAGACGGAACACATATCCCTATCTTGGCACCAGACCACCTTGCCAAAGAGTACATAAACTGAAAGGGGTACTTCTCAATGATGATGCAAGCGCTGGTGGGTCACGGGGGCCATTTCACTGACATCAACGTGGGATGGTCAGGAAAGGTGCATGATGTGTGCATCTTTAGGAACTCCAGTCTGTTCAGAAAGCTGCAAGCAGGGACTTTCTTTCCAGACTGCAAAATAACCATTGGCCAATCGATCCTGGGAGACCCAGCCTACCCCTTGCTCCCATCGCTCATAAGGCTGTACTCAGGCAACCTGGACAGCAGTAAGGACCGAGTAAGTGCAGAATGGTGGTGAAATGTGCCTTTGCACGTTTAAAGGGCTGCTGGCATTGTTTGCTTAATAGGTTAGATCTCCGTGAAAGCAGTATCCCCGTTGTTATTGCTTCCTGCTGTGTGCTCCATAATATCTGTAAAACAAAGAGAAAAGTTTCCAGCAGGGACGGGGGTTGAGGCAGATCTCCTGGCAGCCAATTTTGAACAGCCGGACACCAGGGCAATAAGGAGAGCACATCTAGGGGCTCTGTATCTCCATGAGGCTTTGAAAACCAATTTCAGCAATGATCCACAGTAACATGACACTATCTGTGTTGTTCCTTACTAAGCTGTCCCCTTCATTCTATTTTCTCTCCTGTAAACTCCATCCCCACTAACCATAGTGTGCTGAATGAATAAAGAGCCTTTTCTCCTCAATCCGTTACGTTTTATTATGCTCACAAACACACAGAGACAGCAAAGAAAAGTAAGATAACCTGGGGCAATAGGGTAGATAACACTGGGTGAGGGGAGAAACAAGGACAGCTTGGTTACATTTGCACTGCAATAACAATCAAAGGTGGACCTTGTATCCTTCCCTGGAGTTGAGTGCAAGGGATACTGAACTTTTCCCCCCGGCCTCAAAGGACATTTGGGAGAGGAGGATGTGGAAACCGGCGATGATGGCATCAGGTTCAGCATAGGCTGCAGAGGGACTCAGCCAGATGCCTCAACATGTCTGATTTCTCCCTCATAATCCATAGCCTCTCTTCCTGTGTGGCACGCTCTTGTTCCCTTCATGCTCTGCAGTCTTCCCTGTCCTTGTGCAGGTTGGACAGTGTAATCCTCCATGCACTGAGCTCCCTTCTTGTCACTCTCGGAGGTGCACATTAATTCACTGAACATATCCTCTTGAGTCTTTTTTTTTCCGCCTTTGAATCTGGGAAAGTCTCCCTCCCGGGGTGGAGGATGTGCCGATGGACAAGGTTTCAGCCGCAAAGAATACAAAGCACGAGGGTAGCACTAACCATGCATACATTCTTTCTGGTGCAAGGTTAATTTTTTAAATAAAAGAAACACCCCTCAATGCATTTCCCTGAAAGCCACAACTTAATCACAACTGCTGGGTACTGCAAGAGTCTGTTTTCTGCTCCAGCCATGTTGAGTAAAGCCATGAGGCATGGATGAGAGGTCTTGTGCTGCAGCTTTTGTGATGACATCCTTGGGATCACTGGTTGCAACTTCAGAAAAGCTCCCCTTTCCCCCAGCAACCTGGATGGTGCCTGAGGACAGGCACCAGTGTAAAGCCACCCAAGTAGTCTGATTTTTACATAAGCGGCACCGGGTTGCGGGGGAAGGGAGACAAACAGGAAGCCAGCACCCCCCCTTTTTAAATGCTAGTTGAAATACATAGTGGTCCCTTCCAACGACAGCCACGGCACGCTAGGGAAAGCATGGTTGTGTGACCCAGATTTCACCAAACGGGCAGATTACTTGTTGAATTGCTTGTGGTTTAAGGGCTAGCATTTAAAAGTTCCCCCATTTCACTCTAGGAGACCATTTGCGATATCACTCTCCTGAGGGTAACAGAGGCGGAAAGGGAGCAGATGCTACAAGCATCTGGGTACAGACCTGGTCCTTATGCTGTGTGTTGCAATGATGCCAGAAGAGTTAATGCTGGAGTAGCGTGGGAAAGTGTCTTACTGTGGTGGACGAAATAAGGCAGCTCTTCCCAGAAACCTTCTGCAAAGGATTGCAGAGTACCTCCATGAAAGCTTCTTAGAGATCTCCGTGGGGGATTCCAGGACCATCCCTGTACACATAAACAGTCTTTTTCGGAGAGCACCCGCTGCGTAGCTGGCGTGGCCACCGATACCCACTACATCTACTTTTTTGTTCAGATTAAACATTAAAAATAGCATGTAACTCCTACAGTTTGATTGGAAATGTGTACTCACCAGAGGTGCTTTCTCAGGCATCACACTTGGCCAACAATTAGTCCTGTGAAGGGATGGGCTCCAGGGTTAAAATCAGTTCTTGGCTGTGAGGGAGAATGGATCCTCCACTTTCCTGCCTCACATTCTCCTCCTCCTCTTTTTCGTCAACAATGTCCTCCTTGTTGCTTGAGCTTGCCCGGGGCTCCTGGGAGATATCCACGGAGCATTTTGGGGTAGTGGTGGGGTCACTGCCAAGAATCACATGTAGGTCCTCATAGAAGTGGCATGTCTGTGGGGCAGAACCAGGACGACTGTTCACCTCCCTTGTCTTCTGTTATGCTTGATGAAGCTCCTTTATTTTCACGTGGCACTACTGTGTGTCTCTTTTGTAGCCCTTCTTCCCCATGCCCCACGCGATTTTGGCATAGATGTCAGCGTTTCTTCTGCTGGATTGGAGCTCTGCCTACACAGACTCTTCTCCCCACACAGCAATAAGATCCAGCATCTCCTGGTTTGCGACCTTGAGTCTCCATTATAAGCTGTATTGACAAGCTCTCCACGCTGATCAAACAGGAAATGAAAATTAAAAAGTTCCCGGGGCTTTAACAGGGGAGCAGCTGTTTCCTGTGTACCTGGCTGACGTGCTGTGGAGTTGAAAGTGCTCGCCAGAGTGGTCACAGCAGAGTACTGTGGGGCACCTCCTGGAGG